TGTACGAGCCCCCAATAAAATGATTTATATATATAAAAAAATCCCATGATGAGCGAAATGGATAAAATTCCTGCCCTCCCAGAATTCACATCAAGTAGTGGAGTTTATATTTTCTAGTGGATTATAAAGCAACTACTTTTAGTGGATTGTGGGAAGAGGGCTGGTCTGTCACCTGAGAGCACTTTGGGAACACTGGAAGCATTGGTAGGTAAATGACAGAAAATATTGTGCGAAAAAAGTGATGGAGTGCTGTACCCGTGGGGAATTCCAGCCATGCTGTTCAGCCCGATTCATAGGTTTTAACTAATGGATAAACAGAAAGATAAGAGGACAGATGGAAGGAGGCTCAGTTGGAAACCTTATATATGCTTCTTTCAGTTACTGAAAACACTAGCTTCGGTAAATAAACACTGATGAAACTTCTGAAAACATTAGGAATAACTTTGGAGAAGTTAATTTTGAATAGGAATTTGAGTCACTGGAATTATATTGAAAATTGCAAATGCTCTTCTACTTAGCTCTAATTTTTAATAACAATTTCCATTAAATAAAATAAACATTAATGTTCATATCCATGTACCTTGTTTATGTAATTTCAATTCTAGCATTCTATAGTATCTGCAATAAACAAAAGCCAAATCAATGTTGTAGCATTTTTATTTTTATGAAATTGAAAAATGATAGTCTCAGGCATGTGAAGATAGTAATTCTGCATGTGAAATCTTTTAACTTGTATAAATCATTTGGAATTGAATTCTTAAGACTTGAAATAAAATATATCCCTGTGGTTTTAGAAGCATTTTCCCCCTAATGAGATAAACAGAGATGTCAAAGACAGTAGGACATAAATTCTTTGTCATTTTGCTCTCTGCAAGAGAAAGAAAGTTCAGAGAATTGGTAGAAATTCATTGGGTCTGCTCTTCCTTCTGTTAATGATTTATCTGCTTCCCCTGTTGCTTATTCTCCATGAAATTAATAGTCTGTACAGGACCCACCAAGTTCTACCTGACACAGAAATAGATTGATGATTTTCTTCAGCTCATTCGTAGACCAAAGTATCATTTGTGTTAGAATAATTGACTTCCAACAGCAGATATGTATCTAGGGAGACCAAGAGGGTAAAACAGTTTCTTCTTCCCAACCCAGTAGTTTACATACTGTTCTCACACCTCTAGGACCAAGATGCCCCGTCAAAGGGGATGCTGCAGATTGGGAATGCTGGCGGTTCTTGGGCCTGGCTTTTAATAGAAAGTTTAGAAGTTTGGGACCTCCCGAAGGCACCTCAGAAGACAGACCTGCTGATTGACTTCCGAAAAGATTCGCCCTGGGAATGTCCTGGTTTGACACACAAGGGCTCAGCAGGAGTTGACTCTACAGCAACATTTTGGTGGGGATGTGACTTAGACTCCCTTTCTTTGGCGGTCTCCAAACTTTCTTTTAGCATTGTCCTACATAATTTATGTTCATTCATTTAAAAATGATGTGCAAAGACTTGTCCTATAGCACTGATCATTAAAGATGGTCAAAGGACAATTTTGAAGGGATTTGGTCAGTGGAGATACATAGATTTCAACTATTTCCATCTTGCAGATTGGAGGTTTGCTGGTGGGCCCCTGGCATGTACACCCCCCAGTCCCTTCAGAGAACATGCCTCCCACTGTCTATGAACAGAGCCCTGTTTCACATCTGGGCAGAGGTGGGAGTGACTTTTCCTATCATGGTTGGAATTTATGCTGGGTCTCCCCACACACCGCTCTGCCACGCACATTCATCCTCTGCAGGGGAGGAAAGGGGACGGATTTTATTTCTGTCCCACGTACGACAGTAGGCACCGTATTAAATGAGCTCTGTTTGATTAAACAACTGCCAGCTTGTGTTTCACAACTATTTTTTAACTGACTTTTATTCGCATGTGTTTTACAAAATTGTAGTAAAATACACATAGAGAATATTTTTCATTGGCACGTTTTTAGTGGCGCTATGTTCATCGTGTCTTGTTTACCACTGTCTGTTTCCCATGTCTTTCACCGCCCTTTACCAGTGTCTCCTAAGTGAAGGTTTCCGTTTCTCCCTCCTTCCATCCCTGGCAACCAGTAGCAAACGGTGATTCCTATACCTCTTCCAGGTATTCTAGATAATTTCATGTAAATGGGATCATAGGGCATATAACACTGCCCACTTGTGGGCTATCCTCCCAGTTGTTCCATGAGCCCATTGTTGCAGCCACTAGGTCAATGCACCTTGTTGAAGACCTTCCTCTCTTGCTACCCCCTCGACTTTACCAAGCATGCTGTCCTTCAACATATGGCACCCCCATTCATGGAATCTACGT